GTAGCTGGAACTACAGGTGCATGCCACCATGCCTGGCTAATTTTTTGATTTATTGTAGAGGCGAGGTCTCACCAAGTTGCCCAGGCTGGTCTTGAACTGGAGGGTTCAGGTGATTCTCTCACTTTGGCATCCCAAAGTGCTGGGATTATAGGCTCTCAATTGGGACTAGCCAATCTGGCTGTTGTTGCCTCCAGCTGTGACCAGCCCCGAGGGGACAGAAACCGAGCAGAGAGAGTGAGATGAGGTGGCAACGTCAGGGAGGAGCTATGAAATGGAGCTCCTGGGGGGTGATAGATCAGTCCTTTACTTTGGGGCATCTGACTTGTATGACTATTAGTGACTGAAAGGGTTTATCTCCTTAACTTAAAAATAACCTGGGTAAGGCTGGGTGCGGTGGTGGCTCAGCCTATAATCCCTTGGGAGGCCAAGGCGAGAGGATTGCCTGAGCCCCAGGGTTCGAGACCAGCCTGGGCAACTTGGTGAGACCTTGCTTTTGAGACCAGCCTGAACAATTTGGTGAGACCTCATCTCTACAATAAATCACAAAAACTAACCAGGTGTGATGGCGTACGTCTGTAGTTCCAGCTACTTGGAAGGCTGAGGTGGAAGGATTGCCTAAGCCCAGCAGGTTGAGGTTGCAGTAGCTGTGAGTGTAGCACTACACTCCAGCCTGGGCAACGAGTAGGACTCCAACTCAAAAAATAAATAAAAATTTAAAAATAACCTGGGTAAGGTAAAAGAGTAAATTCTTTGGCTTTACCATTTTAATCCCTGGTGCAGACAAAAAAAAAAAATGCCTGGCACATAGTATATTCTCCATAGGTAGTAAAGAAGTGAATCGGTGAAAATGACAGAGTGACACAAGCACACCCTATGTCATGGCTTTCACTTTGGGGGACAGATGTGCTCTGGGATACTGTTTGTGCTTGGAATGGGGGAGCTGAGGAGGAACAGCCAAGAGGCAGAACTGAGGATCTTTCCCCAGACCATGCTGCTTGCTAACAGCTAGGAAAGGTCAATGTAAGTTCACCCAGAAACACATCGGGCTGATCCACGTGGAGGTTGCCTGAGGCTAAGCAGCCCCACCGTGGCAATAAAAGACCCCAAATTAAGCCGAGCTTGGTGGCTCAGCCTGTAATCCCACGCCTTTGGGAGGCTGAGGTGGGTGGATTGCCCGAGTCCGCGGATCTGAGACCCGCCTGGGCAGCGAGACCTCATCTCTACAATAAATCAAAAAATCAGCCGGGCGTGGTAGCGCATGCCTGTCATTCTGGCTACTTGGAAGGCTGAGGCGAAAGGATCGCCGGAGCCCAGCAGGTCGAGGCTGCAGTGGCCGGGAGCAGCCTCTGCACTCCAGTCTGGGTGACAGAGTGAGACTCCAACTCAAAAAAAAAAAGACCCCAAATTCTTCAGAAAGAGGAGAGGCCTCCATGTGAGGCATCAAGACCCTCGTCGGAGAAAAGGTCCTGGGGTCTAAGATTTCCCACTTGGTGGCTTATGCCTGTAATTCCAGCACTTTGGGAAGCGGAAGTGAGAGGACTGCCTGAGCCCCAGAGTTCAAGACCAGTTAGGCAACATGGTGAAACCTTGTCTCTACAATAAATCAAAAAATTAGCCGGGTGTCATGATGCGTGCCTGTGGTTCCAGCTAGTTGGAAGGCTGAAGCGGAAGGATCACCTGAGCCTAGCAGGTCGAGGCTGCGGTGACCGTAAGCATGCCTCTGCACTCCAGCCCAGGCAACAGAGTGAGACTCCAACTCAAAAAAAAAATGATTTCTCACTTGGCAATGACACTGGCTTGAATACTAGTCACAGACCCAAATTCTTGGGTCTTGGGTCTCAGACCGTGCAAACAGATAGTGGAACCACAGGGAGTGAGTGTCTGAGCAGAACAGTAGAGAAGAAGGTGAAAGACTCCAGAGAGGCACAGATGGACAGACCACTCCTCTTTTTCAGTTGCCCACCTGGGGAAGCATGAACTTTCCCATTCTAGAGGAGACAGCAGGGAAGGGGGAACATGTGCACAGGCAAGAGTGTGTGTGGGCAGAAAGAAAAACTCCTGTCCCTAAATGTGGCCACAGTGGCTCACCCCATCTATTACACCACATGCTGGGCACAGGGGCACCCCGGGAGGGTGGACAGAGCTTTTCCTTCCTAAGATTCCTGAGTCTCCTGCTGTGACTAGGCTGTAGACCTCAAGCTCCCTTCCCTGGAACTGGTGGCCCCTCCTAGTTGGCGATCTATCCATGTTCCACATTTAGATTAAAGCATCTCACCCCTTCCTTCTCAGCTCCCTTGTAAGTGTGTGTGTGTGTGTGTGTGTGTGTGTGTGTGTGTATGCAACCATGTGTTGTGAGAGGCAAGGAAAGGCCATCACAGTAATCACCACTGGCCAGACTGCAGGGAAGTGGCAGCTGTACCTTCCCTAAAACAGTCCCAACAGAAGCTTCTGTGCTGGGTTCACTGTGGTGTTCTTTGCCTTTGATTCCTGGGTAAATCTTTCCTTAAGTCATGAAGTGTCCTAGCTCCTTCCGAAAAGGTAAGTTGTTTAGGGGGTGTCTCCTTCTTTTTTTTGAGTAGGAGTCTCACCCCATCGCCCAGGCTGGAGTGCAGTGGCACGCTCACAGCTACCACAGCCTCAACCTGCCGGGCTCAGGCGTTCCTTCTGCCTGAGCCTTCCAAGTAGCTGGAACTACAGGCATGCGCTACCACGCCCGGCTAATTTTTTATTTAGTGTAGAGACGAAGTCTTGCCAAGTTGCCCAGGCTGGTCTCGAACCCATGGGCTCAGGCAATCCACTCACCTTGGCCTCCCAAAGTACTGGGATTAAAATCTTGAGCTACTGCACCCAACCAAGGGCTGTCTCCTTCTTGCCCTTTTGGCTCCTGACTTTCTCC